AATTGGTGCTTAAGAATGCTAGAAATGACATAAGGATGCAAGTATGCATTTAAAAGAGATAGTCAAAAAATTCTAAGCACTAATATTTTTGAACCCCCTTATTTTTTAACCCCTGCTTGAGCGAGAACCACAGTCACTGGAGCAGTCTGTAAACTTTGCAAAAGTACTGGTTGGTTGAATTTTACACTCGACAGTCGCTTAATGGTCACTCGAGCCAAAGATTGAATAAAAGTGAGCTTGCTCGAGCGCACACTTTGTCGCTCGAGCCACTGAGCTATTGTCTGCAAAGACGCTGTGAGTATGGATTTTACATTCAAGTGAGTCTTTCCTCACTCGAGCGAACTGGTCGAATTCTGGGATTTCCATAATTGTGTTTAAGGCTCAAAACATGATTCCAAAGGCTCAAAGCTTGCGAGTTTGGTAAAAAAAAAAACATGAAATAACATTTTAGAACTTAAAAATATAATCAATTCCAAACCATTTATTCAAAATCATGCCCTAGTTGACCAAATTCTAGCTTACACTAACAAGTTAAAACCATGCATGATATGTATTGCACTAATTTCTTTTCAAATCTTTCCAAAACTCTCATGCATGAGATAAAAAGTGGTAAAACTATGAAATATCTTCAAAAATGTTAAATATAGCTTTATGCATGTGGAAAATTCCATGAAATTCAAGCTCAAATTGGTGATTCATGCATGCATGTACATAATTCAACTCAATTATTTCAAATTCAAAGTAATTCATGCCTCCATTGTACAATTACATGCAAATGAGCCCAAGAACTAGATGAATTCAACTTCTACATGTTTTATTTACAAGGATTAAGGTTGAAAATCATACCTAAGGCTTGAATTCAAGTGTACACTAGTTCAATTCTTCAAATCCCCTTCAATTCCTTCACAATTCTCTTCTCTTCTCTCTCTCTCTCTCTCTCTATGTATTGAGTTTACTCTTCCTCTCTCTCAAAATCTTAGCTCATGTATGTATATTCTATGAGTTCAAGTCATGAGTTGGCTTATATATGATGTAATTAACTTAGCCTAATCAAGGTTGATTAAGGTTAATTAATTAGGCTCAATTCTAAGTAAGTTCAATTAATTTATTCTAATTATTTTTTATCCGAATCAAATTTTGATGAAAGTTGCCATAAAATTCTAAATATTCTAATTAGCCTATTAGGCTAGTCAATTTTGGCTTTTGAAGCCGTTCAGGCTTTCAATTTCTGATTTTAGGTCGTTAAGCGAACAGATATTCCATATAATAACAAATAACTACAAAATTAAGCATGTAATCACACAATTAAGCACACAATCATGCAATTGAGCTTATTGAAACAATATAATATAATAGTTCGGAGGTTGGGGTCATCACAGTCTTTCCCCCTTAGATGGTTTGGTCCTTCAAACTTAAGTTACCTTCAAACGAAAACAAATGCGGATACCGCTGCCGCATCTCTTTCTCTTTCTCCCAAGTGGCCTCCTTCCCATAATGTTCTTTCCACTTGACTTTCACCATAGGGATAGTTTGTTTCTCAATTGCTTCACTTTTTGATCAATGATTTGCATGGGCCATTCTTCATACATCATGTTCTCATCTAAAGCAATCCGATGGTGATCAATCACATGGAACAAATCTTTAAGATACCCACGAAGCATGGATACATGGAAAGCATTATGCATTTGTTTCATTCCCGGTGGCAAAGCAATACGGTAAGCAGCAAGACCCAATCTCTCAAGAATCTGAAATGGCCAAATGTAGCAAGAACTTAATTTTCCCTTTTTGCCAAATCTCGTCTGCCCTTTCATCAATGTTACTTTGATAAAAATACATGATCCCCCGCTTCATACTCTAAGTCTCTTCTTCACTGATCCGCATAACTTTTCTGTTGGTTTTGTGCAGTTTTGAGCCTTTGCTGAATGATTTTGATCTTCTCGGTCGTTTCCTGTACAAGTTTGGTTCCATAAATAGCCCTATCACCAACCTCTGTCCAACAAATTGGCGATCTACATTTTCTGCCATATAGTGCCTTATATGGTGCCATACCGATGCTAGCATGAAAGCTATTGTTATAAACAAACTCAGCTAATGGAAAATATGTTTCCCAGCTGCCCTAAAAGTCCAGAACACACATACGAAGCATGTCTTCTAAGGTCTGAATAGTCCTCTCAGTTTGCCCATCAATTTATGGATGAAATGTTGTACTAAATCTTAATTCTGTTCCCATTGCATCCTGTTGACTATGCCAAAATCTAGAAACAAATTTAGGATCTCTATCTGATACAATAGATATTGGAACCCCATGCAACCGAATAATCTCATCAATGTAGATAGTAACAAGTTGATATGCAGTAAAAGAAGTCTTTACAGCAAGAAAATGAGCAGACTTAGTCAATCTATGAACTATAATCCAAATAGAGTCCGTACCTTTAGGTATTTGAGGGAGGCCAACAATGAAGTCCATGGTGATATGTTCCCATTTCCATTCTTGAATAGGGAGAGACTGAAGCAAGCTTGCGGTTTTTTGAAGTTCCGCTTTCACCTGTTGACATTGTAAGCATTTCGAATTGAAGTCGGCAATCTCTTTTTTCATGTTAGGCTACCAATACACTAATTTCAAATATTGGTACATTTAGGTATTTCCCGGAGGCATAGCAAACAGTGAATTGTGAGCTTCCTCCAAAATCTTCCATTTCAAATCTACATCATTTAGAATACACAATCTCCCTTGAAATTTCAACACTGAATCTTCAATCGTAAACCTCGGTTTAGGCTTGGTGTCAATTTCATCAGAAATCTTCTTTAGAAACTCATTATTCATTTGCTTTTGTTTAATTTCTTCAATAATGGTTATCTGTGCAGATATTACAGCTATCAAGCTATCTTGTTCAAACAAGAAAGATTCTCCACATTCTTTCTACTAAGTGCATCTACCACAGTATTGGCTTTTGCCCGGATGATAGTGGATCTACAAATCATAATCTTTGATTAATTCAAGACATCGCTTTTGACGCATGTTAAACTCCTTCTATGTGAAAAAGTACTTCAAGCTCTTATAATTTGTGTACACTTCACATTTGTCCCCATACAAGTAGTGACGCCATATCTTTAAGGCAAACACAACAGCAGCAAGTTCTAGGTCGTGTATAGGGTAGTTCTTCTCGTGTGGTCTTAATTGTCAAGAGGCATATGCAATTACCTTGCCATTTTGCATTGAGACACAACCTAAGCCCTTATAAGATGCATCACTAAAGATTACAAAACCTTCGGTATCTGAAGGACTAGTAAGAATTGGAGTTGTGGTCAATCTTGTCTTCAACTCTTGAAAGGCCAATTCTCTCTGATCCGTCCATTCAAATGGTTCCCCCTTTCGAGTCAATTGAGTCAATGGTACAACAATTTTCGAGAAGTCTTGAACAAATCTTTGGTAATAACCTACCAATCCCATAAAACTGCGAACTTCTGACACATTAGTCGGGGTAGGCCAATTAATAATTGCTTCTATTTTATGAGGATCAATAGATATACCATCCTTGTTAATGATGTGTCCCAAAAACGCGATTTCATCAAGCCAAAATTGACACTTTTTGAATTTCCCATACAACTGTTTTTCTCTACGTGTCTGAAGAGTCATTCTCAAGTGCTGTTCATGGTTATCTCTATTTTTCAAATACACGAGAATATCATCAATAAACACAACAATAAATTCATCTAAGAAGGGTTTAAAAATTCTATTCATTAAATCCATGAATGCTACGTGCGCATTTGTAACTCCAAAAGGCATGACTAAAAACTCGTAATGTCCACACCTGGTCCGGAAGGTGGTCTTTTCAACATCTTCAGCCTTAACCTTCACTTGATAATACCTCGATCTCAAGTCAATTTTTGAAAATATCCGAGCACCCTGCAACTGATCAAATTGGTCATTAATTGATGTGCTCGGTCTGACAAACCCTTTATCAAGCAATTCCTGCAGTTGAACTTTCAATTCTTTCATTTTAGTAGTAGACGTACGATAGGGAGTTTTTGAAATTGGTTGTGTACCCGGTATCACATCAATTGTAAATTCAATTTCTCTATCTACCAGTTGTCCAAGTAATTCATCCAGAAACACATCAGAAAAGTCTCTCACTACTAGTATACTATCTACGGTGGCATCCATGGTTTGTTCAGTCACCACACAACACAAGTACCCTTGACATCACTTTTTGAGTAATTTACAAGCTTTCATTGCAGAAATCATATAAGGTGGAGGTACTACTTCATTACCTACAAACACAATTTCATCATACCTGGAGGTCTAAATAAAACTCATTTCGTTACACAATCAATAGTTGCACAATATTTAGACAACCAGTCCATTCCTAAAATTACATCAAAGTGTCTAATATCAAGAGGCTGTCGATCCACAAACAATATCACATTATCAACACATATTTCATAAGCACGATAAACAGATGAACATAAAGCAAGTTTCCTAGATAGGGTGGACACACACAATATATAGGACAATGATTCCATGGGTCTATTTAATCTATGTTCAAACACAAAAGAGACAAAAGAATGTGTGGAACCCGAATCAATTAACACATATGCATCTTGATTGCAAATAGGGAGAGTACCTGAAACCACAGCCTTAGTATTTTGAGTATCCCCTAGAATCAGTTCAAAAACCCTTCCTTGCCTCTGTTCATTTCTTGTTGTAGTGGGCATTGCGTTTATCCTTGTTGTTGGAGTAGATCTAATTGAACTTGCAATACCATGATTTCCACTTCAACGTGGTTGTGTACAATCCTTTGTTATGTGTCTCGTCTTCCCACAATGATAACAAGCCCCTGATGTGCAGTAGCAAACACCCCAATGTTTCTTTCCACAGGTAGCACACGTTGGTACTGAATTACCACTTTGGCTTGAACCAGTATTATTAGAACTCCCAGATTTTTAACTTCTTGTTTGTTGACGTTGCCCCCTTGCTAAAATTTTGCTTTGTCCTTCCATTAGAATTTCTGTTTACGGTTAGCCACATTACCCTCTACTATTAGTGCCCTATCAAGCACATCTACATATGTCGGTAATTTGAGTACATTGACTATGTCTAGGATTGGGTCATGCAAACCTCCCTCAAATTGTCTAGCTTTCTTGTAGTCTGTATCTACTATGTGGGGTGCGAAGTGGGTTAACTCCGTAAACAGAGCCTCATATTCAGTAATTGATTTGTTCCCCTGTTTGAGTTCCATGAATTCAGACACTTTTCTGTCCTGTACACATTGCGAGAAGTATTTCTCGTAAAAGATCTCTAGAAAACAAGCCCAACTAGTATCCTTATTCTTATCTCGAACCAACATCCACCAACGCCTGGCATCATCTTCTAAGGTGAATGCAACTAGTTGTGCTTTCTGAGCTTTGGTATATGGGAATACTTCAAACCATTTCTCAATCCTTAAGACCCAAGCTTCCACGTTCAATGGGTCAATCCCACCATGAAACAACGCTGGCTTCATCTTTTTGAATTCTCTAGTCAAAGCAACAATATAGTCCCCTATCTGACACCTTGGAGCTGGATGTGGTACAGGCATTGGAGGTGGGAGTGGCGGTTGTCGTTGTTGTTGCCACTATTGTTGTTGTCTTATGGCTTCAGCCATGTCTTGCATCATTCATTCCATTCTGTCCAATCTTGAGGAGGTTGCCTCCTCTAGCTTATCACTTCTTGTTCTCATCATTTTTTATATGAAACTTTGTATTATAACAAACACAATATATATACATGTACAAATTCAAATAAGTAAATCGTACAAATTATCTCACTCTTCCATTTAAAAACACATGAATGCAATCCTAAAGTCTCCTCTAGACTATAAGATATAGCTCAATGGACAAGTGAGTGAGATATAACTCGTGCTCTAATACCACTCTGTCACGACCCAAACCCACCCCTATAGGTTTAGCATCATGACCGGCTAGTAATCATAGATTACCTACGGCCTCCATAAACAAAATCCATTTAATATAAAGTACGGGGCTTAGCGGAAGTATAATATAACATGAAAATTATCCATTAAGTCGTGCGTACATGAAAAGAACTTCGTATCTTAAGCAAACATTTGTTCTTTAAGTACATACATCACATTAGTTCCAAACATCCATATCTTATAGTTATACAAAACCCCAAAATATGCACAAATATAAAACCATTAAACAAGCAAAAAGGGGTTAAATGAATTTGGCTCCATACGAGCCTTGTTTACTTCATTCAGAAGCTCCTCAAAAGGTTGACACAGGTAAACTCGATGCTTCCTTAACTCTAATGTTCAGCTTGCCCACCTACATATGTATATATAAATAGTAAGCTAGGGCCTAGTGAGTAATAACAGAATAAAAAGGTTATATGAATGAAGTTCGATAACATTGCAAAACCAATTCTCATTTCAATTCTCAATAATCAATAAATTTTACCGTCGATGTCATTTAATATCAAATTAAGTGGCACCTCAATGAGGCAATAACATTCCGATCACAATGAACCATAAAGGTCAAGCCGATGGACCACGAACGGTCAAACCAATGGACAACGAAGGGTCAAACCAATGGACCACGAAGGGTCAAACCAAAAGATTGCGAAGGGTCAAACTGAAAGACCGCGAAGGGTCAAACCAATGGACCACAAAGGGTTAAGCACTAGAGATCTTCGTGTTTCAATCAATCCAATAGCCATGGTATTGTTACCCCCAAGCAAGGGCCTATAATCAGTGGATGCCACAATACAGTTTCAAAAGTGAACTTCATTCATCGATAGTCATTCATCGATAGAAAATAACATTTTCATAAACCATTCAATCGATCGCACATTGATTTCAAGAACGATAACAATTTCAAAATAAATGTTACTTGAACATATCTTTATGAAGTTACTACTCACAGTGAGTTATGCTGTCACTAAGCCTCGAATGTCCACCTATACAAAAACATATAACAAATATCCAATTGAAGCACCATTTCATTTTAATTGAATTCTTCTTATGTGTCTCTAACTCATTCTATGATTATATGAGTCCAATTGGTGCTTAAGAATGCTAGAAATGATATAAGGATGCAAGCATGCATTTAAAAGAGTTGGTCAAAATTTGTTGAAAAAAAGAGTTGGTCAAAATTTGTTGAAAATAGGGTCCTCGCTCGAGCGGGGGTTCAAAAATAAGGGTGGTCGCTCGAGCACAACTTCGATCACTCGAGCGGTCTATGAACTCTGTAAAAGTACTGCTTGCTTGAATTTTATGCTCAATAGTCGCTCAATGGTCGCTCGAGCCAAAGATTGAATAAAAGTGAGTGAGCTCAAGCGCACACTTCGTCGCTCAAGCCACTAAGCAATTGTCTGCAAAGATGTTGGGAGCATGAATTTTACATTCAAGCGAGTCTTTCCTCGCTCGAGCGAATAGGTTGAATTTTGGAATTTCCATAATTGTGTTTAAGGTTCAAAACATGATTCCAAAGGCTTAAAGCTTGTGAGTTTGGTAAAAAAAAAAAAACACATGGAATAACATTTTAGAACATGAAAATATAATCAATTTGAAACTATTTATTCAAAATCATGCCCCAATTGACCAAATTCAAGCTTACTTTAACAAGTTAAAACCATGCATGATATGTATTGCACTAATTTCTTTTCAAATCTTTCCAAAACTCTCATGCATGAGATGAATGCCTCCATTGTATAATTTCATGCAAATGAGCCCAAGAACTAGATGAATTCAACTTCTACATGTTTATTTACAAGGATTAAGGTTGAAAATCATACCTAAGGCTTGAATTCAGGTGCACTCTAGTTCAATTCTTCAAATCCTGTTCAATTCCTTCACAATTCTCTTCACTCTCTCTCTAGGTGTTGAGTTTACTCTTCTTCTCTCTCAAAATCTCAACTCATGTATGCATATTCTATGAGTTCAAGTCATGAGTTGGCTTATATATGATGTAATTAACTTAGCCTAATCAAGGTTGATTAAGGTTAATTAATTAGGCTCAATTCTAAGTAAGTTCAATTAATTTATTCTAATTATTTTGATCCGAATCAAATTTTGACGAAAGTTTCTATAAACTTCTAAATATTCTAATTAGTCTATTAGGCTAGTCAATTTTGGTTTCTAAAGCCGTTCAGGCTTTGAATTTCTGATTCTAGGTCATTAAGCGAACAAATATTCCATGTAATAATAGATAACTACAAAATTAAGCATGTAATCACACAATTAAACAGACAATCATACAATTGAGCTTATTGAAACAATATAATATAATAGTTCGGAGGTCGGGGTCATCACACCACATGGCCTAGGAATTTAACTTCACTGAGGAAAAACTCACACTTCCCAAACTTAGCATATAACCGATATGCTCTAAGCAACTCAAGTATAACCTGTAAGTGTTCCTCATGTTCTTCCTCGAAGGGTGAGTAGACTAAAATGTCGTCGATGAAGACAATCACGAATCTATCTATGAACTCTCGAAAGACTCATTTCATCAAGTCTATAAACGAAGCCAGTGCATTAGTCAATCCAAAAGGCATCACCAAGAACTCGTAGTGGCCATACCATGTACAGAAAGCCATTTTCTGAATATCCTCCTCCTTCAACCTCAACTGGTGATAACCCGTTCTCAAATCAATCTTAGAAAAACAACGTGACCCCTTCAACTAGTCAAATAGATCATTTATTCATCGTAGTGGGTACTTGTTCTTAACAATTACTCGGTTCAACTTTCAGTAATCAATGCACAATCACAATGTGTTATCTTTCTTCTTACCAAAGAGAGTCAGTGCTCCCCAAGGTGATGTACTAGGGTGGATGAATCACTTATCTAACAGTTCTTGGAGTTGAATCTTCAACTTGTGTAACTCGGCGGGTGCAAATCTATATAGTGCCATGGCGATCGGAGTCGTGCCTAACGCTAAGTCAATTAAGAGCACAATCTCTTTATGTGGTGGCAACTCTGTGAGATCCTTCAAAAAAACATCTAGATATTCTCGAACTACTCTCGGCAATTCATCCCGAATCATACTACTCTCATCGACTACTGTGATGGAAAAAAGAAAACTCAACTCTTGTTGACCCTTAAGGTCATACAACAGAGGAGTAAGACTATCACCCTAGTCACACATGAAGTAAAAGCATTCTCCCGATGGCATACATACCGATACCCTCCTACGATGGTAATCTATCAAAGCCTAGTAATGAGTAAACCAATCTATACCTAGGATTATGTCAAAAGCATGCATGTTAAGAGTAATAAAATCGGAAGAATATCTGCCACTGTGCAGGAGAATCCGAATAGGTGTTCGAGTGTTCGAACCGTAATCCGCAAGAAATGGCATGTAAACCCCGTATTTACATATCTGCCACTGTGCAGGAGAATCCGTATACGTGTTCGAGTGTTCGAACCGTAATGCGCAAGAAAAG